TTTTTTTTTTGGGGGGGGAAAGGTAAAGTTCCCTGACCCCTGCATTATACAAATGAGATAAAGACAAAATGCCTAAATTGGAACATGTGAGAGATGAGAGTCACTTATGCTACAGGATAGTACCTGGTTATTGTTGGTTTTTAATAAAGATGTAGGTTCATGACGTAGTGGTGAAGATGCTGAGCTGCTGTCACTGTCACTTCCATCACTTAAACTAACCCTGAAAAGAGAAAAGCGGTTATAACTTTATCAAGATGACTACAATATGACTGTAAGAGGTGCACAACCTGTTTTGATTAACAAACAACTGAGATTTTATTTTCAAGAAAGCCAGTTTTCCACCTAAAGTAATTTGAGACAAATATTTGAAAATATTTTTTCGTGTAAAAGACCCCCCCCCCAACTCTTCTAACCCAAAATTAAGATGGTTGTTGTAGGTTTTTTGGGCTGTTTGGCCGTGCTCTGGAGGTTTTTCTTCCTAACGTTTTGCCAGTCTCTGTGTCTGGCATCTTCGGAGGACAGGAGTTAGAACACAGATAGAGATCCAAGCCATGAAAGCCTTCTAAAATTAAGAAATCAGTATTTTAAACATAAAACAGAACACATTTTATTTAATAATTAGGTAACATTTACATACCAGGGCTGTCATATTTTGCATCACACTTTAACTTTATTCAGCCTCTGGGCTCAGAACGCTTCTGAGCACTGTCTACAGCTCCACCACCAATGAGGTGTGTTGCAGCTGGTTTGTTCAACATCAGTTCATGTCCGTTACATAAGGCTCATGTTTGGAGGAAGCTAAGCCTCCTGACTGGAGGCAGCTAAGTCACATGATTGGAGGCAGCCTGTTTGCAGAGGCAAGGTATGGGCTATTTTGTTCTCTCCTCAGCTTACTTCCATGTATAAGATGACCCTCAATTTTTAGTCCAAAGATTTTAGACAACAATATTGTTTTATACATGGAAAAATACAGTAAATGGCAATTGAATTATGAGATGAGGAACAAAGAGATAAGAAAAATATTGGAAGTTCATTGATGCTTTTCAGTTCCTATGAACCAGCAGATAAAGGATTAAGTATTTTATGCTTAAGAATAGTACATTCTGGAGGACTGGGCTGTGGAGACAGGTCTCCTGCCCCCCACATGCACTCCCCCCCACATGCCCCCACCCGCATGGGTGCCCCGCCCACCTGAACAAGCAAACCCCACCCACCCATGAGCACATCTCACCCGAATGCGTGTAAGTGTGCCCCATCCACCTGCAAGCACAGACCCTGTCCCCCCAACCGGTCCACAATTTGGAAAAGGTTAGAGACCATCGCTGTAAACTATCTCAGGGTTTTCAACATGATACAATACTTTGGTTGCATGCAGGCAGAACTGTGCCTGATACTTGTCCCCCATCTACTTGCAATATACCTTTCTGATGTAACCATCAGTGCTGGACAAATGGCCTAAACATGAGAAACGGAAGCAAATATTACACCCAATGGCTGAAATCCTGTTGCTCAGTGTAGTAAGTCACAACTAGAACAGGCCCACTGAATCAACAAGGATTTCATAAATCAACTCTTCTGTAAGTTCCATTGATTCAACAGGCCTACTCTGATTATGATTTACTACATAAGCAAAAACATTTCACCCAGTATATATAAGACATACCTTTGAGCAGAATATAAATGAACTCCTTGAAAAGAGTGACTGGAATCTTATTCATCATTTAGCCACTGTTAGTGGAGTGCATAAACAGTTGCAGCGAATTGCTGCTGATTAATGAATTGTCACTCACATTAGTCAATTTAAATCAGAGCTAGTTTTGAATTGATGGGGAAATGAAATGTGGTAGTTTTATTATTTTTTTACCTAGTTTTCCAGATGTTCTGGTATGGTTTGATCTTTTTATTCCAGTATGACACCCAGACTAGGATGCAGGAGATTTGGGTTCAAAACTCTGCACACTGATGAGCAGTCAAACCATATTCACTTCCTTCTCCATATTAGCAGTTTTTATATATGACAGTAACAGTATAAAGGCACAGAGAACTGTTTCCTGGTGCTCAGTACTTTGACTGTGACAAAGCTCTTCAGTACTACAGTATATAACTGGGATAATGCAAAGCAGTGTCTTTAAAAACAGCTGCAGCCTCACTATTAAGTTGGAAAACATTGTCTGTCTCTTCATTCTGGATGGGCTCTGCTTCCTCTACCAAGCTCAGATTTTATCCCAGGGCCCCCAATTTCCTAGACAATTCTTGTGTGTTTAATGCTTTATCTTCTTACGGTGGTGCCTCAACTTATGAATGTCCTGACATACGACCATTTCGAGATACGACCAGCTCCAGCTGCAAAATTTTGCTTCGACTTGTGGCCGGAGCTTCCAGTTACGAACAGAAAAAGGCAGGGGGAAAAGGCGGGAAATTCAAATTGCTAACCATTGGTAGGTGAAGAGGCTGCTTCCTTGTAGCTCTTTTGCCCCAACGGTTAGAGTGAGTGCGATCAGAGGAGGTTTCAGACTGCCTGGTAAAGTAAGATGCTGCTTTCTGCTTTTAAAAAACTATTCTGGGTGGTGGGATTATGTTTCTTTTATTATGTCTTTTGCACCATGGTTTTGGGCTGGGTGGTGGGATTATGTTTCTATGCTGAAATGGCTCTTGGGAGGTTTGTTTTTTGCTGGGTCTTTCTAACGGGTCTTGGGGGGTTTGTTTGCTTTCTGGGTTTCCCCCCATTTCTGATGGGTCTTGAAGGGTTGTTTGCTTTTTGGGGTTTTCCCCCCATTTGCAATGGGTCTCATGGGGTTTGCTTGCTTTTTGCTGTGCTTTTTTGCATTTCCAATGAGTCTTGCACGGTTTGCTTGCTTTCTGCTTTGCTTTTTTTGCATTTCTGATGGGTCATGCACGGTTTGCTTATTTTCTGCTTTGCTTTTTTTGCATTTCCGATGGGTCTTGCATGGTTTGCTTGCTTTTTGCTTTTCTTTTTTTTTGCATTTCTGAAGGGCCTTGCACAGTTTGTTTGCTTTTCTTTCTTTTTTCCCTTTGGCCAGAACGGATTAATCGTGTTTCCGATGGGTCTTGCAGTTTGTTTGTTGTTGTGTTTGGCAATTTTTTCCCCTTCGGCTGGAACAGATTAATTGCATTTCAATGCATTCCTATGGGAAATGGTGCTTCGACTTACGACCATCTTCCGGAACTGATTCAGTTCGTAAGTCAAGGCACCACTGTATATGAATAGTAAAAAGTCCATTCCTATTTCTCAACATATTAAACTGAAACTTTACTATATTTAGAACAAATCTTCAGCTTTAAAATGATTTGGAATTTATTTTCTATCTACTCTTTAAAGCCTCACCTGCGGCCCCTGCTTCCTCCACAAGTATTTAGAGGTCTCTCTATCTCAGAGTCATTTTCATTCTCATCTGCTTCATCAGATTCATCTTCATTATCATCAGAATGCAGATCTTTCATTATAGACCTCAAAGGACCTGCCGAACAAAAACAAAACAAAATGAAAACAAATCAGCCATGAGAATTCACATGCAACTCCACCCACTGTTCAGCTATATAACAAAATAAGTCCTAACATTGTTTTTAAGAAGGGATATGAGGACTTGGGCATTAAACAAAAGACTTAATACACACAGGGAGGGGGCTTTATGTGGCAAATGCTTAAACAAAAGTAAATTTATTCAAGGACTAGTTGACTTAAAACAGGATTATTTCTGACAAAAAGAATAGCCTTTTAAGTGTTTGCAAAATTAGTCCCTTGGAATGTGAATTAAAGCAAGTTGGCTCTCTGCACAATGATATGTATCTTAAAAAAAGATTTTACTTTACTTTAAAAAATAATTTACGAAGGTTGTTCTTAGGGTATTCTACACCTGGAAAAATCTAAAAGAGACTAGGAGTAATAGATGTCGTTAGGTTAATCCATGTATTGAAAGTCATAGTCTAATAAATCATTGTGATTGCAAGTTGCTCCAGCCAAGGCATTCTTTGCCTGTTTTTGATCTACCTAGATTTAGCTGTCTTCTTTATTCTAAGGTCAATGTCAGGTCAAGCAAGCTCTTTGTTAGTGCTCATATATATATAAACTGTGTCAGTGCTAGTAACAGAAACCTATCTTTACATGGAACTGAGCAGAGGTGCTAAGCTTGTTTCATTAGTAAAGTTAAAAGGAGAATTTTAGGGTAAGTCTTACGTTAACATTTTAAAAATATTGTTAAATACATTTACAAAAAAAAGAATGTGGCTGTTACTGTATTTGAAAAAAAGTTTATCTTGGGAGGTTATGACGTGAGTTATACTATTTTTTATATTTTTGAGAATAGTTCTGAAATTTAAGAGTTCAGCCAGTGAGAATGAGGGCTAGAGTTCATGCTAGTAAAGTTATTTTGCTTCATAATAATAATGCTTTCCTTGGAAGATCCACCAGTTTTGGAATAACTGGGAAAAATTATTACTACAGTGGTGCCTCGTATAACGAGTGCACCGTTGAACGATGAATCCGCATTGTGATGCGGATTTCCCCATCGCTAATGCGAGGGCACGCTCGCATTACGAGCCAACTACCTGGGATTGAACCCAGAATAGCTGTTCTGCGGCTCCAAAATGGCCGCAGGAACACAAAAAATGGGTGCCGGTACACCCAAGATGGCCGCCGGAACAAAAAAAATGGCCGCTGGTACACCCAAGATGGCCGCCGGAACAAAAATTGGCCGCCGGAACAGCCAAGATGGCCGCCGGAACAAAAAAAATGGCCACTGGTACACCCAAGATGGCAGCCAGAACACAAAAAATGGGCACCGGTACACCCAAGATGGCCGCCGGGACGCTCAAAATGGCCTCCGGTACACCCAAGATGGCTGCCGGAACAAGGGAAAACATCGGAGAATGGTGAGTTTTGGGCCCATTTGGAACACATTAAACTTTGTTTAATGCGTTCCAATTGGGGTTTTTGATCCGTTTTACGATGTTTTACCATAGCGAAGGTTAATCCGGAACGGATTAACCTCGCTATGCAGGGCACCACTGTATATAATAAATGTTCCAGCTTGAAACTGAAACATTTAATACATTAACGGGATGCAGCCTACTATTAGCTCAATTTAAAATAAAATCATACTATTCAAATTACTAACAAATAAAATAATCTGATAAACTAATTCTATAATTATGCATTTTATTCACACAACATAGCTGGAATAATCACTAATAATTGTTAGGAAAATGGGATCATCGTTATTCAAATTTTACAGAGATGGACAGAAAAAAAGAGACAGCAAATTTTTCAATTCTACCCAGAGATATTTATACAATGTGGAAATTGTATGGATATTCAGGACCAGGAGCTTGCAATATCGAAAGGAAGGTTCAAAATGTTAATACATATTCCTGAAAGTGAACAGCACATTTGTTAGTTTTTGTTTTAGTTTATTTAACAAAAACATTAATAATACTGCCTCTTGAGAAACACGGTGCCCACAGAGCTGAGAATTTTCTTTGCCTTCCACTGTGTATCTCCATGATTCCAAACAACCTGTCCAGGGAGTATTCCACCCCTCTGAACAGGCTGCTTAGGTGGAGAGAAGTTTTCAGATTCTGTCAGAAGCAGAAGAATCCTGTTGGCACACACCATTGGTTCACAATCTGGGTAACCCAGGTGTTCTTGGACTGTAACCCCCAGAAACCCCAGCCAGCACAGCTGGTGTTGAAGGCTTCTCAGAACTGTAGTCCAAGAACATCTCAATTATCCAGGGTTGGGAACCACTGGAGTCTGGCTAGTGGTTTATGATGCTGTATAGTTACACAGATCTATCCATTTTGTTATGCTCTCTCCAAAGTAATAATATAGTGATAAAGGAAATATTAAGAATGGTCTCATAATCATTACTGAAGAAAACCACACATTTCAAGGATTTAGACCTCCACAAAATAGTGCTAAATGCTCCTGACAGAGGAGCACATGACCTCTTTTAACACGTCCTGCATTTAAAGCACCTGTTGAATACACATTGTATTCTTCCATTTATAATGAAAGTGGGACAACAGGAACTTTTCCAACTATTTACATATAAACAGTTTTTTTAAACAAATATAAATTCTGACTTTTTCAGCAGTGAAGAGTAATTCAGCTGCAAAGCCAAAGACAATAAAGTCTATGGAATCTATTTGTTGCAGTATTTTTTTAAAGCGGAAAGAGGTATTAAGTGTTTATGCTTAGTGATATTTATTTGGCCAGCTTAAAAAATGTTTGAGGGTTTTGAGGGTGGAACAGATTATAGTGTTTTTAAATTCTTGTGCCCATAAAAAGCTACCACATGATTTTGCTTTAGAAAAACATAGTGCTTTTCTTCTGCTGTTTACATCCAGGTCATCTATTTCCACTCATGAAAACAATGTGACATGCAGGCTGCCCCCACCCCCTTTTCCTTTCTCCTCCTCCCCCTTTGGATAGAAAAACCTTGATGACTTTCCAAAACCTTAGCACACATCATGGAAGATCAGTTTTCCTAAATAAAACTTTACTAGTTACACTGCTTATGTGAATGGAGAAGGGGGCACTGATAAATGAAATGTAAACACAAAACACTTCTCAATTCAGATACTATGATTAGTATTTTGGTAAGTACTTTCAAAAGGCATCAGAGAATTTTGATTACTAAGCCAAAAGAGTGGCTTGTCAGTGAAGAATAGGGAATATATTCCAGGATTCATGTAATCTAGGATGTTGCTGGATTACCATTGCTAAGGCTGATTCCCATCAGCCTTAGCAATCATAGCCAATACAGTGGTGCCTCGCAAGACGAATGTCTCACGGGACAAAAAACCTGCAAGACGAATGTTTTTTGCGATCACTATGGTGCCTCGCAAGACGGCTTCTTCTATGGCCATGCTTTGCAAGACGAATGTTTTTTGCAAGACCGATGCCTCACAAGACGAATGAATTATTTTCGTCTTGCGAGGTTCCCATAGGAACGCATTGCAATGCATTCCTATGGGAAGCTGCTTTCCGCAAGATGAAAATTTAGCAAGACAGCGCTACTTGAGGAATGAATTACATTTGTCTTGCGAGGCACCACTGTATTAAAAGATTACAGTAGCTGCAGTTCAACAACATCTGGAAGGCTACGTGCTTCCCATCTTACATCAGTGTCAGTCTAGTATCAGAGATACACTTTACCATAAGATGATGATCCAAAATGTCCCTTTGTGCCTAGTGTGCCTTTCAAAGTTGTTTTGGGCATAAAATAAAAGTAGGAGTGTTGTTTGAGAGAAAGGAAAACAACATGTAATAAATGGCATGAAGGAATGAATCTAAATAAGAAGGCAGTGCTGAACTAGCAATTCTTCTGTTTGCTGGGCTTTTCTATGATTATCAGTTTCTCTCTTTTTAATTTTTACCTTGCTGTCTGCTGTTCTGAGATGGCGTAAAACTGGAACTGGAGCTGGAACTTGAACTGGCAGGACTAGGTTGCTCAGACTTGGGGACATGGAAAATTGGGAAAATGACATAAGCAAAAGCAAAAACAAGGAAGAAGAAACATTAGTTTGATAATTTGCTTCCTGAATCCTGAAATAATTACAGTTCATTTTAGTCTGAAAAATGTATGAAAACAAAACAAAACAAAACAAAAATCTGCTAGGGAACAAAACAGTTCCCCCATCCACCCCCATGCCAGGGACTAAGCTTTTCTTCCTGTTCTAAGTCTTCAAGGAGCCTTTGTGGCTTTGGAGACAAGTGGTACAACTATAAAGAGTCAAGAACAGCTACTGTATGCACAGATGCATGGCAAACTCATTTGGTGAATGGCTACAGAGCTCAAAAGAATAAACAAGTATGTTATGTAAGACACTTTGTGGGGAAGTCACATTTTGGCTGCTGCACTTTCAGTGAACAAATCCAGAGCTAATAATTATGTGAGGTTGAACAAGACTATAGATCAAAAGGGGAAGAAATATGGCCATGACAGAGGGGAATGCAACATATGCTTTTACAGTAGAGAATATCAGCCCCTTAGCTGTTATGTACCAAACTTATATTGATTCTACACAAAGGTATCATACCTTAGTAGTATCAGTCAAAACAAGCAGGCTATGCAAAAAATTAAAGCAAAGCAAAGGAAGTGAAGCGTGCTGCTTATATAGCACCCCAAGATGCTTTAAACACTCTCTGAGTGTTTTATAATTCAATTATGAAGGCTACACATTGCCCCTACCCCACCCAGCAAGCTTGGAAGGATAGAAGGCTGAGTCAATCTTGAACTGGATACCTGAGCCTGTTAAATTCAAACTCAGATTGTGAACGTAGTCTTGACTGCAGTGCTGCAGTTTAACCACTGTGCCAAGAGGTTTCTTGTGCATTCCCACCTCCTAAAAGGAGGAGGTGGGAATGCACCTCTCCAGGACCTTTCCAGTACTATCCTACTCTTCTGAGGTCGAGGGGGAGACTTTCAGCTGAGGAAGGATGTTGAAAAAGGACATGCCCCCACCATTTTGCCATATCTCTGAGCCCTTATAAAAGGTATGTAGCAATCTAGGAAACTGCCTTGCGTTGGGTTGGACCACCAGCCCATATAGCTTAGTGTTCTATAGTGAGTAGCAATGGCTTGCCAAAGTTTCAGCTGAGTCTGGAGATTGCCTCAGAGTGACATATGACATGTGAAGCACATGGTCTAACACTATGCTATAGATGCTTCACTTTGGATCCTACAGAGATCCTGCCACTGGGAGTATACAATACTTATTCTTATTTCTTTTATTTATAGACTACCCGATTAGTGATAAAGCACTATTCTTGATGGTTTACCAACAGGTTAAAATGAGTACCAAAAAACTAAACAACACATTAAAACACAGTGTAAAAAAAACCCCAATGGCATCAAAACAATTTAGAAAAGCAGCATGACAGGAAATGAACAAAGTATCAACCCAGGTCATTATGAAATGTCTCCCTAAAAATAAAGGTCTTAAATTTTCTTCTAAATAACAAAAGAAAGGAAGCCAGGTGTAGCTCATCTGGAAGTTGATTCCATAAAGCTGGGGCCACTGTAGAGATGGCAGTAAGGGCTATACTAGATAAATTTAGGTTATATCCTATATATCCCATATATAGGTTATATAGCTTTCTGTGTTCCTAAGTTAACAGTTTTCTATGATTCTAAAAATCCTGAGGCCTCAGGTTTTGAATTCCCTGCAGCCTGAATGCCACAAAGTGGGCAAGTGAGATTTCTGGATAAAGCATTTTGGTCTTACACATTTTCACTCCTCCCCTACTTTTTGCTATTAGGAAACATGTGGGCCACCTGGGGGTACTAGCTGGTGCCCACTGGGGCTGAAGGAGTAGAGATAGGCATGAAGCCAGTTAAATTTCATTTGCTATATAAATTACCACCAGACCTTGTACCCTGGTTCTCTGGTAATGCATTCCATTCATTGAATGAGGAGCCCAGCAAAACTCATCCTTAAAAAAAGGTATTTCAGCAATAGAAAAGGATGTGTGGAGCAGCTCACTTCATTCTATGCTGAGAAAAAAAGTGTACAGCCACCACCACATGCAGCCAACCCAACCCTTTAGTTATGTACACCCTCTAGTTATGCAAAGAAGTGTTCATTCACTGTAAAATCCATTGCATTACAAGGCTGCAATCTTATGAACAAGTATATGAAACGAAGCCCCACTGAACAAAATAGGATTTACTGCTGAGTGAAATGTACAGGACTAGAAAAACTAGGAATAATATGATTCCAACAAGAGAGCTTGAGATTTAATTCTGAAGCATACTAAAGCATTCTTTTTCACTCCTCTTTGTCTTCTACACCAGAATGGTATCTCATTAAAAAAAAAAAACAAGGCAAGCAGCTTCACTTTGGATTGTGTGTTTGAGCCACAAAAAAATAAAAAAAAGCCAAAATCATTCCTTTGAGTCAGGTGGTCAGCCAGATGCTCTATGGCACCTTTATGGGGCCTCCACCCAGCAGTTTTGACCCAACAGAGTGAGTTCAGTCTAAATTCTTTATAGCAATACTTGAAGTTCCAAGATGCATAGCGAATGCACAAATTCATTCAGAGACTGGCTCACTAACAATGGTAGCCAAAATTGTACTAACCTCCCTTCAGTACTGGCTTAAAATAAACTTTCAATTACAGGGATTAATTCATTTACTCCTAGAGAACAATTTTCAATCAAGGTGGTTAAAAGCGGTCCTAAATAAACTGCAATTAATGGGCTTCTCAAGCAATATTAAGCATGCAATGGGATGAAGCAAAATCAGCCCTTAAACAGAGAATAATGGATATGGAGAGACAGGTAGATCTCAGTAGATGCCCCAATTTCAAAGCAACAGGCATGCAAAAATATCGTCCAATCCCTATGGCCTATCTATCACAGCTCGAGACATATAAATTTAGGAAAGCCCTTACTTTGGCTAGGTGTGAGGCTTTCCATTCTGCGGTGTTGGAAGGCAGATTTAAGAAGATCCCAAAGGAACAGAGATTCTGCCCTTGTGGCTCTGATGAGAATCTATCGAGCATATGATGCTCAGATGTAACAGGAATAAGAATCTAGAAAAACATATTACACCTCTCTTAAAAGATATGGCAGGGCAGTTGGATTCGGACTACAGTGGTGCCTCGCTTTACGATTGCCCCACATTACGATGAATCTGCGTAATGATGATCTTTTTGCGATCGCAAAACGATGGTCTAAATGGGAGAATTTTGCTTTGCGATGATCAGTTCCCTGCTTTGGGAACCGATTCTTTGCAAAATGACGTTTTTCTAACAGCTGATTGGTGGTTTCAAAATTGCTGCCAGGTAATTAAAATGGCTCCCTGCTGTGTTTATGGATGGATTCCTCGCTATACAGGCAGCGAAAATGGCCACCGTATGGAGGATCTTCGCTGGACGATGAGTTTTTACCCCACTGGAACGCATTGAACGGGTTTCAATGCGTTTCAATGGGTTTTTTTATTTCACTTTACGATGTTTTAGCTTAACGGCGATTTTCCTGGAACGGATTATCATCGTTAAGCGAGGCACCACTGCACTGTAATCAATTGTTAATTGTAGCAAACAGCCCTGTCCTCACCTGTCCGTCACAGTAGAACAGTGGAGAAGGAGCCAATGAGTGGACGGAAGGTGGAGCCAAGGGGGGGGCTGGATATAAAGGCTGGTGTATGGAGTCTGAGAGAGATATTCTGGTAGAGAGGACTATGTTAACCTTAAAAGTGAACTAAGAGTGAGTTAGAGATCTGTGAGAATGATGAATGGAATAGAGAATTAAAAGAGGTTTAAAGTTATAGCAGTTTTGATTCAAAGACTAGTGATTATCAACCTGTGATTTACTTATTAAATATTAATCATATATTAACTTCCCTGACCTAATAAATGGCTTAAGTTTTAAAAGCACACATGTATCCATGATTAAATGGTATTAAAGTAGTAATACCTGGTGGCAGCGAATAAAGAAGAAGAGCGAGAACATTGTGAAGCCCTGGGGGAATAGGGGCTTCAGAGGAGATTGCCACAAAGTAGTGATCAGCGGCGGGATACAATTTAATCCAGGAATGCCTAAATACAGAAAGGTTCCCAGAGCAGAAAAATATACTTTAGTCAGGGGATCTGAAGTGAACAGAGTGGGTAACTTCCTAGAGCATTTCAGGGGGAAAAGCTTAGTTTAGTATAAAGGCTCCTAAGCTCAGATCGGGGGGGGGGGCGTAAGATAAGGACAGGCTCTGAGGAAACCATTTCTGGAAGGAGTTTACATCAAGCAGAGAGGGGCCAATTGGTTAGTTTGTCCTGAGCTCAAAGGATAGAGTTCTGAGGGGACTAAGCGGAAGGCACGGTCAGAAGAAGCTGAGGTGGCTCAAATCAGCAAAAACTGGAAAGAGTTAAAGCTGATATTTCTGTTTATTTGGTGCCTAGCGGCGGGGAGACACTTTGTCTCAGGCAAAAAGCCCTGGCTGGGAGCCAGAGGTCTAAACACAGTACAGTGACGATAATCCGTCCCATTGAAATAGCTATTTAGCGAAATCGCTGTTTAGCGAAATCCGTTTCCCCACTGGAATCCATTGAAACCCATTTAATGCGTTCCAATGGGGAAAATACCTTGTCGTCCAGTGAAGATTGCCCATAGGGAAGCCATTTTGCAAGCGCTGATCAGCTGAAAAAATGGCTGGCATGCGAAGCATGGGTCTGAAAAATACAGGGCATTTTGCGAAGCCGTGAACAAACGGTTCGTGAAGCACAGACCAAATTGTTGTCAAGCGAAAATCCCCCATTGGAATGACTATTTTGCAAATCGCTACAGTGATCACAAAAAGTCATCGTTATGCAGATTTGTCATTTAGCAGGGTCATCGTCTTGCGAGGTACCACTGTATTTCAGTGAAAATTGGCAGGGAAGCTACCTTTTAAATTTGAGGCTTGTAAATTGAGGCAGAAGCCTACATAACTAAATATGCCTTCCACGCTGGGGGGAAA